TCTTAAAATAAATGTCATAATTCTTAACACATTCTAGCAAACAGAATTCACCTTTACATACAAAGACTTACATCATGAGCAAGTGAGGTTTATGTGGTGGTTGGTTCAACATTTGAAAATCAAGCATGCATTCCTCCATATTAGCAGGATTATAAAATCACAGCATAATATAGATCAGATCAGAAAAACATTTGGCAAATTTCAAAATACTCTTTTGAAAAAAAAATTTCAAAATATAGAGTGGAATGACACCAGTTGGTAGAGAATATATACCTACAGTATAATAAAATACCTGCAGTTAATGTTATGCTTCATGGTGAAAACAATGCTTTCTCAGGAACCAGGCAAGGTTATCTGTTCTCATGTCTTTAATTCAACATGGTTATACAAGTGCCACAAAGATCTAAGACAAAAAAAAAAAAAGGCTTGCATATAATAAAGGAGGAAATAAAAATGTCCCAATCTGCTGATGACTTAATACAAAACTCAGGAAAATCTACAAAAAAAAAAAAATCTTCTACAACTAATCAGTGAGTTCATGAAAGTTGCTGAATAAAAGGTAAGCACTAGCAATGAATACATAGCCACCCCAGTTAAGACTGTATTACAATTTACAATTGCTCAACAAATGAAATTATTAGTATAAATGAAATCATGAGATTATTTTTCCTATTTTTAGGTTGCTTTTGCTTTCTCATGAAAGTGTATTGGATTTTGTCAAATGCTTGCTCTACAATAGTCATGATCATGCGGGGGTTTTTAGACTGTCATTTCATTAACATGGCATATTATGTTGATTGATTTTAGTATGTTATACATACTGTATGATTTTATTTATATAAATTTTATGAAGCCACAAAATTATAGGAATGGAGAGAAGACTAAGGGGCTGCCAGGGGTTGATAGGAAATTGGAAAGGGGGTACGATTATTAGTGGGCAGTATAAGGTATCCCGTGGTGATGCTGTAGATGTCATGACTGTTTCAAATTCCTTATCCTGCTTCTTTGAGATGTTATAACTAAGGAAACAGAATAAAGGGCTTATTGAGTGTCTGTATTATTTCTTGTAATCTCAATTAGTTTTCAATGAACTCAAAATCATTTTTAAATAGTAAAGGAAAAATCATTGCAGGAATTTTTCTCAAGAAAACTAGGAGCACAGGACATGTAGAGCTTCACGAGAATACATTTTTGATGTACACATACACAGTAGAAATGAGTGAAAATATAAGTGATCAGATTATCTTTGTATCTATTATATATATAAAACATTATATATATGATATAATATGTGTAATATTATACATATATAATGTAAGTTATGATTCTCAGGGCTATGAAGCTAGGTAGTGAAATAATGCTTAAAAATTTATTTCAATAAAAACTTTGAGTCCAAATGAAAAATATGTCATTTGGCAGTTTTGAAAATAAGATTTGGGTTGATAACTTTTGTCTTTGCTTTCCTAATTTTCTTTAGTGTTCTTTTACTTTATTTTATAATTATTTAATTTAATTTTGATTTTTTAAATATTTGGCATACTTTGAGTAAAACTTCCCACTGTAGCTTTACTTTAATGAAAAATTGTGTAATACGTTCCAACCTATTCAGTGCTCCTTGTTATTAGCTACTAAGTTCTCTAGATAATCTGCTAATTGGTTTATTAAATAAATCTAGAGAATTACTTTCTTCTACAAATAATTACTCCAACTCTTACAAAAGAATGAACAGTTAGAGTTGCAACTACATAAGCACCAGGGAAGGCAGATACCAGAATGATACTAAATCATTTTTCATGGCCATGCATTTCTAAACATAGTCACTACATGGGGAATTTGAATTAGCAATGGACTAAAGCCCTGCCTAGCAGAGCATAGCTTCTACCAAAGAACAGATGTTTTAAAATACACATTCCTTCATCAAAATCTTTGTTATCATCATTGGAAAAAGCTATGGGTCCTTTACTATGTATTGAGGAAGACACTATGACTTTTAAAAAGCAATCACAATCGCAACCTTATATCATGGTATAATTCTTTTGAAATTATATTCTTGCTCAACAAATGTATTAAATGAAGAGAGTAGCTGCATGCATTCAAAATGTGATATGAAAATAATGCTTTTGATTTGATAAACAGATCAGAAGAAGTTGAATTTATATCATATCAGATTTAAGCATTAATATACAAGACACTATATATTACTTTTGGCTGAAAGATAAGCACTAAACCCATGATAATTAATTATTCAGGTTTATCTGTATCACACATGTTCACTGATATGCATTTTAGCAATAATTTTTGGTGGTGACTATTACTACACATCAGACCCCAAGAGTATAAACTGTAGCATCTGCTTTTGACTATGTACATTCACTTCAGGGAAATAGGGAACAGAGGCAATTATCTGAAAAAATTTCAAACCAAAACACATTTGTGATTTATTTATTCAACCATTCTTATACTCAACAGTGCATTTTTATAAACTATTGCTTTATTTTCCCCAGGATAGAAATAGATTACCTTATGGATTAAAACTCCGAAACAGCCCAGATTAAATTTTATATACATTATATACAATATATATTAAATACTATATATATTTATACATATTTACATATATAAATAAATATATATGTAAATATATATTTATTTATTCCTGGATATTTATTTTCACAATGGTATTTCATTATATATATTTTTAGATAAAAAAGAATAATGGAATTGTTTAGATATATTATAAAAACTTGCTACAATTAAGCATAAGATCATACAATATCTTGAGAGAAACACATAAGTAAAATGTGAAGAAAATAAAGGAGAGAATCTTATTATTTTTTTTAACAGGGAAATTTGTCACAGAAATTCTGGAACAATGACAAGCTAGAAAGATATGGGACTTATCCTTTGCTCCACAGACTTGGTTTCATTGTAAAGGCAGAAATTCTTTTTTCAAATGCAAATAAAATGGAAGCAAAGAACTCAGTTAAATTAGCAGGCTTCAAGCTAGAATTAGTTCTCATTCAGCTTATGCCTTAGTATAAAAGTGAAATTTGGGTCTGAAAATTGTAAATCCATGCTCTTGTCCTTTTTTGTGTATTTATTTATTTATTTTAGTAAGCACAAAGGAATAGTGAGGGAAACAGATTCTTCAACCTTTCCTGATATTTCTCACATTCAAAAATGTCAAAGTATTTTAGCCATGCTGACTCTTATGATATTTGGTAGAGAAAAAAAAATGCTTTTTCATCAAACATTTTCATAATCAATGACAATGTCACATGAGTCCTGACAAGCCTTTCTGAGAAAGATCTCATTACATTTCTAAGGCATTGAACATATCCTGAAAATACTCAGTTACCTACCTGCTCTTCAATAAACTTAGTTTAATAAATACCAAAATGAGCCCACCATGCCATCTGTGTTCTTCCTGCTTATAATAAAAAAGGCATTTATCTGATAATGACAGACTTTTCTGAGTGCACCAAGTACTTTATTTTATGGTGGTGTTTATGCTGCTTCCTCTAAATGAAATAATGCAAGATGTTTATTATTTCAGCATCTGTTCCCATAATCTCTTATCCACTTCACCAGTGACTTGCATTACTCCAAAAAAAAAAAAAAAAGAAGAAGAAGAAGAAGAAGAAGAAGAAGAATCCATTTGATGGTTTCATCTCATAATTGCACAGATAGTCCTGCTTTCTTTTCCACACACTGTTCTCTTTCAATCCACAAATGCAATAAAGAGAAATGTTGATTGTATGAATTAAGAGAATGAGAAAAAGTGAAGTACATATTAATGAAAAGTATTTATAGTGTTTATAATAAAATTCTGGAGTATTTTCTTCTTATTATTGAAACAGCTACTAATAGCTCTCCTTGCTTTAAAGAATTTAATGTGGATGCCCTGAACTGTATTTTATATTTCATCTCATGTCATGAAAAATGGAATAGAAACATGAATGTCCATAGTTGTTGTTATTATTTTATAATCAGAATCTCCAAACCTCAAATGCTTTACCTAAATTTATGTATCAGAAGTATGTAGTGACAAGTATTGCAAACATTTATTTTAAGACCCTACCCACAAATATATCCTTGATTGTTCTATTACCACTTCTATTAAATAGCATCTAGCCTATTACATGTATTTGTACCTACAGATTTTTCATAAAACTTCAGAAAAGTCACTTCTCCATTACATGGCAAATACCAAATACAGAGCTGAGGGAGAATAAATTAATGAAACCAACTACAATTAATGGGAGTGGGAAAGATGTTGATAATTATTAAATTGAAAGGATAAAGAAATTGAAGTTAAAATGTAAAGGACCAGGTTTTGTAAAAGTTTCCAAGCTGCACTCAGAGCCTGAAATTCCTGTGGCAGTTAAGACAATTCCCGGAACTGCCTGTTAGATGTGTGTTGAAATCTTCCCCTGACCACCTAGTTACTAAATCACCCCTTCCCAGAAACCGTGCAGCTCAGCACGTACACATCTCAGGGCTTCAACCAATCAGTTTAAATATATACCTATCTTAGTACTAACCAATCACCCCCACCCTACCTTTTCCTGCCAATGAATGTGCTAATCATGTTTTGGAGTTGTTATTTGATTTTCCCGTGGTATATGATGATTTGCTAAAGGAGGCTATGATGTATGTAAAGCCCCTGCCCTCTCTAAAGAATGTATATAAACTCTGCTCAAGTGGTTCTCAGGGCTCTTTGTTCTCTGCTCTTCTGAAGTGAGCTCTGAGCCCCAGTATGCTGGACCCCCAATAAACCATTTGCTGTTGCATGAGACGGTCTCTTGGTGGTCTTTTTCTCCAACGTTCGCCCGACCTTTTCATCTGGAGCCCCCAGCTGAGATATCTGGTCTAGCCCATCAGGTTTTGCCAGTTACTCAGTTCTAATCTTTGTCTTGGACTCGTGTTAAACGTTTACTGTTTGTCTTTGTCTGTGTCACGTTTGTGTTGTCACTGTCCCTGTTTGAGTATCCCCCATTATGGGACAAAGCACTTCCACGCCTCTGTCCCTAACCCTTGATCATTGGACTGATGTCCACTCAAGGGCCCAGAATCTTTCTTTTTCAGTAAAATGCAGGACCTGGCAGACTCTCTGTACTTCAGAATGGCCCACCCTCGGAGTCAGATGGACCCCAGAAGGATCCTTCTACTTCCCTCTAATCCGAAAAGTCAGAGATATTGTCTTTCAGCCAGGGCCACGTGGCCACCCAGATCAACAGCCATATATCTTAACCTGGCAGGACCTCTGTGAATCTCCTCCCACATGGGTGAAGCCTTTCCTTGTCCCTGCCCCCACTCCGACCCCTTCCCCCACGATCCTATCACTCAAACCCTCTGCTCCTCCCCATCCTCCCCCTCTTCCCTCCATTCTCCCTGAGTCACAAGATTTAACTTTACTGGACTCTCCTCCCCCTCCTTATCCTCTACCCTCGCTCCCCAACCCCCAACACACTCCAGATGACCCTCCCGTCGCTGACTCAGCCTCTGTGCCACTGGAGGCAATTGGGCCAGACCCGAGGCCTCCAGAGGACTTCCCCGCAGCAGCAGCAGCCCCTCCTCCCCTGGAGGAAGCTGGGCCAGCTAAAGGAACCCGCCAACGACGAATAATAGAAGCCCCTGTGATGCTTCCTCTCCGTCCCTACGGGCCCATGATAGATGATGGCCATGGAGGGGAAATGCAAGCCTACCAATACTGTCCTTTCTCCTCCTCAGATCTATATAACTGGAAAAATAACAATCTCCCTTTTTCTGAGGACCCCACCCAACTCACAGGTTTAGTTGAGTCGCTGATGTTTATGCACCAGCCCACTTGGGATGACTGCCAACAACTCCTGGGGACTCTCTTCACGACAGAGGAATGAGAGAGAATCCTCTTGGAAGCCAGAAAGAATATTCTCGGACCAGATGGGCGACCAACCCAACTTCCCAACATCATTGAAGCTGGCTTCCCCTTAAACCGACCCAACTGGGACCCCAACACCTTTGAAGGTAGCCCACTTATCGCCGGGCTCTAATAGCGGGTTTCCAAGTGGCCGCCAGACGGCCGACTAATTTGGCCAAGGTAAGAGAGATTACCCAAGAGCCTAATGAGTCTCCCTCTATGTTTCTGGAGAGAATTATGGAAGCATATAGGAGATATACTCCTTTTGATCCTCAGGCAGAGGACCAAAAGGCATCTGTTGCAATGGCCTTTATCAGGCAGGCTGCCTTAGATATTAAGAGAAAGTTACAACGTCTAGATGGATTACAAGATATGACCTTAAGAGATTTAGTCAGAGAAGCTGAGAAAGTATATTATAAGAGAGAAACTGAGGAAGAGAGGAAACAGAGGAGAGAGAAGGAAAGGGAACAAAAGGAGGATGAAAGGAGCAAAAGGCAGACTAAAGCATTGGCTATGGTCCTGGTCACAGCAGCAAATAGGCCAGAAGTTAAAAAGCAGGGAGACAGGAAGGGATACCTGGGCCCACACCAAAAGCTGCCCCTGGCCTCAGACCAATGTGCCTACTGTAAAGAGAAAGGACACTGGGCCAAAGAGTGCCCCAAAAAGAAGCAGCCGCGCCAGCCTGCCGTGCTGACTCTAGAAGAGGACTAGGAAAGTCGGGGCTCGGATCCCCTCCCCAAGCTCAGGGTAACATTTGAAGTGGAGGGGACCCCAGTGAACTTTGAAGTGGATACAGGAGCAGTATACTCAGCCCTTAAGACCCCACTGGGCCCCCTATCAAATAAAAGGTCCCTAGTTCAAGGGGCTAATGGCAGTAGATATCGGGCTTGGACAACTAAGAGGACTATGGACCTAGGAAAGGGAAAAGTCCACCACTCTTTCCTAGTAATCCCAGAATGCCCGGCCCCATTGATGGGCAGGGATCTGCTTACCAAACTCGGGGCTAGAATAACCTTTAACCCTGATGGTCCCCAAGTGGAGTTTCTAAATCCTTCAGTAAAAACTCTTCTTATCATCTGAGGAGACAGATACAGAACTCTGGGACCCTACAGAGCCAAGTTTACAATTTCAAAAAGCCCAACTTTATGTCAAAGACGTACACCAGCTCACCCACTTAGGCTCAAAGAAGTTACAGGCACTCTTAAAGGACTGAAGAAAGGACTTATTATTGACTGACTCACAGAGGAAAGAAATAGCTGAGCAGGTGACTAGAGCTTGTCAAGTCTGCCAATTAGTTAATGCTTACCCATCCAAGCTTCCTGCAGGGAAGCGCTTACGAGGAACCAGACCAGGACAATTCTGGGAAGTGGACTTTACTGAAATTAAGCCAGCAAGGTATGGACTTAAATATCTCCTAGTCTTTGTAGATACTTTTTCAGGATGGGTCGAAGCCTTCCCCACGAAGAAAGAAACGGCTCAGATGGTGGTCAAAAAGATCCTAGAAGACATTTTTCCAAGGTTCGGCCTGCCTAAGGTAATAGGGTCCGATAACGGACCGGCGTTCGTGGCCCAGGTAAGTCAGGGATTGGCCAGGACCCTGGGGATTAATTGGAAGTTACATTGTGCTTATAGACCCCAGAGCTCAGGATAGGTAGAAAGGATGAATAGAACCATCAAAGAGACCTTAACGAAATTAAGCTTGGAGACCAGCATAAAAGATTGGACTATGCTCCTACCTTATGCACTGTTTCGTGCAAGAAATATCCCCTCCGCCTCTTTGTGTAACCTCACCCCTTATGAAATTCTCTATGGCGCCCCTCCTCCAGTAAGGGACTTAACCCCAACTCTGAGACTTAATGATTCCTTTCACACCCCCTTGCTTGACAGACTCAAAGCCCTTGAACAAACCCAGCGATACCTGTGGAAACAGTTGGCCACTGCTTATCAGCCCAGAGACAAGGGAACCCCACATCGATATCAAGTGGGAGATTTTGTCTACATGAGACGGCATCAGGTGTCCGCCCTGGAACCCCGCTGGAAGGGACCATACCAGGTGCTGCTTATAATACCTACAGTGGTGAAGGTGGATGGGATCGCTTCCTGGATCCATGCCTCCCATCTCAAGCCTGCGCCCTGTCCGGACTCTGGCTGGAAACTGGAAAAGACTGGTAACCCTTTCAAACTGCGTATTCCCCATATGGATAGGGCTATGGACCCTCCCCTTGACCATCAGCAGTCCTAATCCCCATCAACCTGTTCAGCAGCAATGGCAAATTATAAATCCTACTGGACAGGTCGTATGGTCCATCTCACATACAGCTCCCTTATGGACTTGGTGGCCATCCTTTCATCCAGACATTTGTCAGCTTGCCATGGGCGATTGGGATATCCTAGATGTAGAAAATCCCAACCAAATCCCATATTTGCTAGGAACTGCCCCACAAGCGCAATAGAACAAAAATATGGAGGTTGCAGTACCCCAATGGCTCGATGCAAACTGGCTGAGTTGGATTTCTATGTCTGTCCTGCAGACTTCCGAAGTCGCAAGCAGGCACGATCATGTGGGGGACAAAATGATTTATATTGCAATACATGGGGATGTGAACAAACAGGGACTGTTTATTGGAAACCGAACTCCCCTGATAGTCTAATTCGGGTAGGACGGAATGACACCAAGTTAAACCCCCGTGACAGTCATGCAGATGGATATAAGACAACCAAGTGCAAAACAGCAGTTCTATGTAACCCTCTAAATATAACTTTTACACCCAAAGGTAAAGGACACCCTCAGTCATGGGTGTCAGGAATGTCCTGGGGAATGAGGTTCTATGTACATGGATATGACTATGGATTAAGGTTCATCATAAGATTTAAATGGAGCCCACCAGTAACCTCGGTCGGGCCTAGTCCCATCAAGTCATGGCTCCCACATACTCCCAAACCACCCAGCCCTAGCCCATCTCCTCACATTAACCCTCTCACTTCCAAATCCTCTATTCCCTCTACTCATACTAATATTGAATCCTCCCCATGGGAACTCATTCAAGGCACTTTTACAGTACTGAACTCCACCCAGCCGGAACTAACTCAGTCCTGCTGGCTCTGCCTTTCGGCAGCACCCCCTTACTATGAAGGAATATCTGTTAATGGAACATATGATATAAGAACTAATGATTCATTCTGTACATGGGGTGTAAATCCTAAGTTAACCCTCCCGGAGGTAACTGGAGCAGGCTTATGTCTAGGGTCCCCACCTAAAAATAAACAACACTTATGTACCCAGATAGAAGAGATCAACACCTCGCAGGGCTTCCTAGTCCCTGAGAAAGGGACCTGGTGGGCATGCGACTCAGGGATAACTCCTTGCATTTCAGCCCAGGTATTTGACAGCTCTGTAAATTATTGTGTAATGGTGCAGATACTCCCCAGGGTGGTCTATCATGATGCAGAATCATTTGAAGGTCTACTAGGGGGACAAACAACCCGATTTCGCCAGGAGCCAGTGTCCCTTACTCTCGCCATCCTATTGGGGATAGGAGCTGCTGCAGGAGTGTGTACAGGAAGAGCTGCTATAATCCGTGGGTCACAACAAATGGCCCAATTAGAAACAGCAATAGATCAAGACTTGAAGACGTTAGAGACCTCCATCACAGCTTTGCAGGAATCCTTAACCTCTCTCTCTGAAGTTGTTTTACAGAATAGGCGAGGATTAGACCTCCTCTTCATGAGGGAGGGGGGCCTCTGTGCTGCACTGAGAGAATGAATGTTGTTTTTATGCTGACCATACTGGAGTTGTAAAAGAATCCATGAGTAAATTGAGAAAATGCCTTGAAGAGTGCCAGACAGAAAGGGAGACTCAACAAGGGTGGTTTGAGTCATGGTTTACCCAGTCCCCCTGGTTAACTACACTCCTATCAGCCCTAGCTGGACCCCTGATCATCCTTATGCTATTACTAACTGTGGGACCCTGTTTGCTTAACTGCATAGTTTCTTTTCTCCAGGCTCAGATTGGACAGGTGAAACTCATGGTAATTAGACAGCAATACGCTCCACTGACAGAAATAGAATGTGAGACCCCTCAATAATTATGTTTTATTACTTTTAAGATTAAAAGTAGTCATAAAAAGGAGTGGGAAATGAAAGGATAAAAGAAATTGAAGTTAAAATGTAAAGGACCAGGTTTTGTAGAAGTTTCCAAGCTGCGCTCAGAGCCTGAAATTCCTGTGGCAGTTAAGACAATTCCCGGAACTGCCTGTTAGATGTGTGTCGAAATCTTCCCCTGACCACCTAGTTACTAAATCACCCCTTCCCAGAAACCGTGCAGCTCAGCATGTACACATCTCAGGGCTTCAACCAATCAGTTTAAATATATACCTATCTTAGTACTAACCAATCACCCCCACCTGACCTGTTCCCGCCAATGAATGTGCTAATCATGTTTTAGAGTTGTTATTTGATTTTCCCACGGTATATGATGATTTGCTAAAGGAGGCTATGATTTTTGTAAAGCCCCTGCCCTCTCTAAAGAATGTATATAAACTCTGCTCAAGTGGTTCTCGGGGCTCTTTGTTCTCTGCTCTTCTGAAGTGAGCTCTGAGCCCCAGCATGCTGGACCCCCAATAAACCCTTTGCTGTTGCATGAGACAGTCTCTTGGTGGTCTAAGAAAGCAAATGCCATTTGAGACTATTATATATTATGTACCTCACAAGTTGGGAAGATATGCAGTTAACTTGCATGTTCAGAAGCTGGTTTGCAGGATTCTAGAGACATGTAACGATATCAATCCAGTCTGATCCCATGGTGCCCTTGTTCCCCTAGTTCTATATCACCTTGACTTATTAGAGTTTCATTTCCCGATAAAAAACAATCATCTTAACAAATTAACCAAATAATGTTTTAAATTACACTTTGCTAATCCCAACTTCCATCTTTCTTTTTTATTAACATAGACTTTCCATATTAATCAGATACTGCTATATTCCTAGTTGTTTTACCTAGACGATGATATTAGCAAGAAAGAAAATATAGACTTGCTGTTTGAATGGAAAAGAGATATGTGCAGAGTTGACATTTATTTGGGGAAAATTGAGATTAAAAATTACACTTTGAAATTTGTTTGATGATAAGGCTAGTTTCTGTTAACTGATTAATCCAATGATTCTCTCTCTCTCTCTCTCTCTCTCTCTCTCTCTCTCTCTCACACACACACACACACACACAATACTATAATGATTATGTATTTCATGTAAGAAAGCACTACTGGTTTTCACTAAATAAAACATAAAAGCTAATGTTTAACAGTTTAATATGGGGAGAAAAGAAGAACCACAAAATTACCATCTTCTTATCATGTTTATCATACTGGCATAGTTGACATAAAATGTCCAAGTCAGGTACTGGGCGTTTTTCTCATTTTAAGAATTTAGAGCACAAGAATCCCCTCAGGGTGGGTCTAGATTAGAACAAGCCAAAACTTGAAACCAGTTTTAAGAAACTCCCTAATTCTGTCAGGCCAGGGAAATGTGTTGCAATTTACAATTTGCTTTGCTAGTTCACAAAGGTCCCGGATATGAAATTGCTCTTACAGTATGTAAGCCAAGCTTATTCAATTGCTCAAGAAGAATACTTTCAAGCAAGGCTGACAAGAGTTTCCAGCGACCTTTAAGCTAATCTAAAATATAAATGAAATAAAGAGAGCTAATTTGGGTAATAGAGCAAGTCCATTCAAACTCACAAGCTGTGTGCTTGTGTTTGTTCTTACTTCATTTCATTTTGGTAATGGAAAAAAAGGCTTCAGGCAAAAATAAGAGGCTAATGCCTGTTTCCTTTTAGGTCAAAACTAGACTCTGTTTTAGTGAGCTTTTTTTGCTGCTGTGACTAAAAGACCTGAAAAGAACAATTTTAGAGGAGGAAAAGATTTGGGGGTTCACAGTTTCAGATTTCTCAGTCCACAGACAGTGGGCTCCCTTTCTAGGAATACCAGGTGTGTTAAAATATAATGGTGGAAGAGTGTGGCAGAGGGAAGCTGCTCACAAGATAATCAGGAAGCAGAGGGAGACTCCACTTGTCAGATATAAAA